CATCTTTTGTTCCTGACGATGCCGATGGGCAGCCAGGTGGTCCATCAGGGGAGGAAAGACTACGGAAGAGGCCCCGGCACGGGCCCGAAACTCCATTTCCGGAAGATTTCGCCTGCTCTCCAAGGGCCCGAGCCCTAAAGGGGGAAATTGTTTCATTGATGCAACAATTTCTTCAGGAGCAGGGGATCCCCGTGGAGGATCCTCACAATATGGAGAGGGCTGTCGACTCCTATTTTGCAGGGGCTGAGGAAGAAAATAGGTTATATTTTCTAAAAAAAAGCCGAGAAGAGGGGCGGGAGAAAAGCCGAATCTATTCAAACCTATGCAGGGAGCTCTCGACAGTAATGTCTCTCTTAGATTCTCTGGTGGAAATACGGGAAAACTCCATTCAATTCTCGATGGAAACGGAGTTTTGCGAATTCTCCCCGGAACTAGAAGATCATTTTGAGATCTTCGAACATATTCGAGGGTTCAATGTAACTATTGTCACTTCAGCCAACACACAAGATGAGACTTTACTACCGTGGAGCGGCTTTTTGCAAAAAGATGAGGGTCAGTAAGATGCCGGAAAATCGAAATATACGAGATCACAAACGTGGATTGCTCGCAGCTAAAACAAAAAAGACGTTAGAAAGCTTTTTGTAAAGATCCCGATACCGGTTTTTCCGGCTCCGTGACCGAAAAAACCTAACATACTAGTAACAGACCGAAAAGGTTTGTGAGGTTCCTGCTAGAGTGACTCTCACTCTAGTGGGGAGAAGGCAGGTGGGAACGAGCGGAGCGAGAGCAAGTTCCAGTGGCGGGCTGTCTTCATGGTTCCCAGATCATGGTATAGAACTCGATGTAGCCCTTTTGATGCGGTGCTTTCTCGATCAACTATCTGACTTTAATGAAGAAAGACAGCTCAACGAAGTGTTTTCAGCTTTGTTTTAGCCGCTGGACATGCCCTTACCCTCGAAGGAAGGAAGGGAAAGTTTAAGGGCATGTTCATATCGTTCTAAGGCAAAGGGAAGGTGGGTCTTTATAGGGTATCAGACTGATAATTTGCTCATACTATTTATGTTGAACTTTATTCATACTTGAGCTTTCTTCATACTGAAGTTGCTCATACTGATCATTTGCTCATACTGATGGTTCGTTAGGCTACTGCTGTCTCTGGTTGGTTATGCTACTGCTGTGTCTGGTCAGCCTATTACGATCTAGCATTGGCCCCAACAAATTGTCTAGCCACAGCGAATGAATCAAGCTGGGAAGTAAGGGATCGGAGCTGCTAGCACTGAGTGGTTTGTCTGAAAATAGGAGATGATTCAATATCAACCTATATCAACTGAACACCCCATAATAGATAGACAATAAGAAAATCTGAATGATGATTTAGATTAATACCTTCTTGAGATTTTATTACATCTACTCTAAAGGGTATCAGAATTGATATATGTACTTTTTTCTTGCTTTTCCCCCATAATGCAAGCATGTAAGCATGTAAACAACCTTAATGCTTTGCAAGCACTAAGTAAGTAAACTACCTTTTGTACGATATCAGAAATGACCTATGACCCGAAAGAAAAAAGATGTTCAAAACTTCCCTTTAGGAATAGGCAGTTAAGTCATACCAGACATGAAATCCTCAGCCTCGAATGAAAGATATGAGGAATTTCATTGCCTCTCTTTTCTGGCTAAGGGGGTCCCGTAAACCTAGCTCGCCATAGGATTGTGCGGGTAAGACTTCTCTTATAATGAGTAAAGAGGCTATAGCTATAAATAAGAAAACATCTTAAACTGGCAGGCCCTTCCATAAGTGGGTTATGCCCGATACTTGGGACAAGAAATTCTCCTTTTCCTCCTACTGGAGATACCCCTCTTTCTATTTAACTTTCTATTTCAATATGTTTTTTTGTTCTCAGAGGTTTCCTTTCAGTTCAATGCTTCCTCTCCTTCAAATCTTTCAAATTCTTCTTAAGGTCAAGGCAATGTAATTGGCTCGCTAAAGCTTCTTTTCATTCTTCATTTGAGCATTTGCTTCTTGTCTTGCTGACCCTGGGATTGGCAAGGAATTCATTTAATTAGCTGATAAGTAAAGCTAGATCTTTTGAAGAGCCCATAGCCCGACTCCCATTAGACGACCTCTAACAGGATAGCTAGACTACTGGAACTAAAACTTCAACTAGATAGACTATCCCTCCATGACTGGAAACTAGGTGTATGTCAACTGCCCCTCTTCCTAAAACCGCGGTTACAAGAGAAGGAAGGAAAAGGGCACTCTCCGCTGCATTGGCACTGGATGTCTTTAGGACTTCAACAGAATAGTCCCTTTTTTAATGAATGGCGGGGAACTTTCCTAAGCGTAATAACTTACTTGCCTTATCCTATCCCTTCCCTATTGGTCGAGTAAGAAAATCTCTCCACTTGAGAGACACTCGTCTGGAGACTCCAACTCCCAGGAACTCTCTCTCTCTGCAAGAGAACTATCACTTTCCTAATAAATTGAAAACCTATCTTTCTTTCTCGCCTGAAGGCACAGGCAGGCCTATCTCATAGGTGGTTCAGGATCAACGGATGCCTTAGTAAGCTACTGGATCTAAAGGTAGTTGACTTGCTTACTCAAGAGAGCAAGGTATATTTGACTTACTTGTTACAGTAAGGTATGAAGTCGCTTAAACCTTTTGGTATGTAATCGCTTATGCGAAGCGTTAGGGAAAACGAAACACGTAACAGCTACTATTGCTCATTATTCAGATGGTATTACATCCCTTCTCTGTCTTAGGTATCAGGCTTCTTCTCGTCTGTCTTTGTATTCTCTTCTAATTTAAGGTTACTACCCTCACTATCTTCATCGATATATAGTCTCATTATCTCTTCATTAAGATTACTATCTGTATTAATAGACATCAAATCTTTAGAATTCTTATCTATATTTGGAGGATCCCATCGATCAATCGTATTGTCTATATTAGTGTGAGAAATAATAAGATATTTATTCTCTGCAAGTAGATGACCGTCTATCCATGATTCATGCCGCATCCTAGAATTGTATTCATTGATATCACCGATAATAGTCTTCATGCTTTTGGGATTAATACCAAACCTTCCGTAAAGCGAATTCATAAGGAGTTTGTACACAAAGGACATAGCATTATTACCATCTTTCTTTGCCTGTAATCGATTATTAAAGAGCGAGCTAACATACCCTATGAAAGGACTTTCCGTCTTCTGGAAAAGGTACCCTCTTAATGGGATTATAGTATACCCAAGCTTTCTTGCATATTTGAACTCCTCGCTATAGTATACACCATTCCATTTCCCGGTTGGGAAGAGAAGTCCCGTCTCTTTATTTTTTCGATAGGGAAGGAAGGGTCTCTCAATAGAATCAGGACATTCTACGTAAGCCTCAATAAAGCCATAGATGCTATCTAAATCCGTATTATTTAAATTAGAAACCCACACAGGCTTACCTCCAGGTATATGATACTCTTTCATTATAAAAGGATAGAGAGAGTTCACATCGTAGTAGTACAGGTTTTCACCTTTTGGGATATATGCGTCGGTATGACCACCATAGTACCCCCTTCGAATGAAGGAATCTTCATTCCGATTTGGGATATGAATATAGCAAAGCTCCTCGTTGTAGAAATTCATACGAAAGATACCAAGCGCCACTGAGGATACAGTGATCCAATCCACAATGTCCACCTTGAAGAGCTCCCAATATATGCTTTGGGCTTTTTGCATGACACCTCCAAGGAGTCGAATGTCCTGCTTCATATATTTGATCACTTCTTCTTTCTTTTTATCTTCCTTTAGGTTCTCTAAATTAATAGATCCATGGTCAAAGGTACCTTTATTTCCTAACTCAGGGCATAGATTCTTTGCTAGATCGTCGAGACTACCCGGAAGTCAAGTAAGGGAGTCTCGGAACCTGAATAACACACGCTTTTTGTAATAGACAACAATTTCCAATATTTGACGGTTTCTTATAAGAGGTTTTACTTCATATCTCTTATATTCTTTATGACACACAATGAAGTGTTTCAGAATGAAAACTCCATCGAATTTTGACAAGTTGTGGAAGTAGACGGTCTGAATATCAGGATTTTGTCTAATAAGAGAGATCATTCGGAAAATCAAGTTCGATAGTAACATATCACTTCTTTCCTTTTGGGTAGGGAATCTATTATCAGGATAATCAGAACTGTAGTAATAATCCACATTACAATCATTAATAGGAACATAAGGACGAACAATCATGACACCTGCAGCATAAGGATAATGCAAATCAATTTCATCATTGATTTCCTTAAAACTTTTCTGGGATTCATCTAAATCACTAGATTTATCTGTATTGAGGGTGATTGTCTCAATATCGGCTACCAAGAAAGGTTTCATACCTTTTGCACGGTTTTTCAGCGATGTTAAATGCTTTGGGTACGTTCGATTACGCCGCCCAACAACACGAGGAGTTATAGGCTCTATATCCTCATCCTTTAACTCGCTAGCAGAATTCTGGCTTTCCAGAATGTATTTCACCCTATCCTCTAATGAAAGAGATGTCTTATTTTAGACTTTCCCTTCCACAAAGGTTCGAAGGGTGACGCCAGTCACTACACCCGATTCATACTTCTCGCAATTAAGTTGAACCATACTAAGAATACGTGAATATACATATCCCATAGGAATAAGGCTCCCATCATCGTAGGTTAAAGGGATTGCCCTTCCAAGTGCAAATCCAATCTCATCACCGCGCCATATCTTCATATTCACAATGGTAGTGAATTTTGCGTAAGATCCAATGGAAGGATAAGTATACAGTATAAGCAAATCCATAATACACAATGTAATAAAACCAACCTCCCCAAAAGTGGGGAAAGGAGAACGGAATGAATGACGAGAAATGATCAAACCAGGATGTGGATTGCGAACCGCGGATTTCTCTATCCGCGTCATCAACAACGACAAACAATCCTTTTGCCGCTGTTGGAAGCCCACAGGTATAATCATACTCATTAATAATGCACACAATACTGCCCGTCGATCTTACTCATAAATTGCTCCCATTTAATCTCATGATTATCCCATTTCATATCCACAGAGCCACTCCTTGGATCCTCACAGCACACAGTGCGCACATAGCCAAAGTAGTACGTTTTAAAACGAGAGACGTTGGCATTCCACACTTTAAGCTTCTCTTTCTTGTTTTTAAAGGTTTCAGGTAAAATACAATTAAATAAAGTATCTATACACTCTTCAGTTAAAACTATATAGGGGAATTGTTCGATATTCACCCCAAGTTTGTTTTTATCAAGACCATTCTGTAAAGCGAGTCTAATAATATTAGAATTAAAAAAATTATTAATGAATCTCAGGGGTGGACCCAGGCTTGTAAATACAGTCTGGTATATTCGCGGTAAGAGTTGGCAAAAGTAGACATTACTAATAAAATTCTCATGTACGGTGTAAATAGGAGCATTTAGACCTTGCATATTTAAAACCACCTTCATAGCTATTAAAGCATCTTTTTGATGGATGAAATTCACGAAAGTAGACACTTCAGTCTTCTTACGATCTCTCTTGTCAGAAGAGAGTCTAAGAGTAACCATACGTTTCTTCTTTCTTATTTTGTCATAAACCCAAATGATATGGGAATCCTTAACCAAAAAATCCTGGCAGGTGGAAAAGAATTGAGTATCGTAGACAACATGGCTATCGCAGGTAGAAGCAAACCAACCTATAAGGCGAATCAAACGGATCAAATGATCCATTTCCTTGTAATATTCCCTCCAAAACTTGAAGCAGAGGGAGGCCAACACAGCGCTTTCTTTGTAAGCGGGATAAAAGTACGGCTTCAACGCCGCTTTAATATTACCCGCCGTACTCATTTCAGTCTTTCCGTAGATAATAGGCATAAAAATACTTTTTACCAATTTGCGATCAATATACTCATTGTATAATTCTTTGACGGAATCAGGAAGATCTTCCTTATTAAGGAAGGACTTTAAATCATCCATAATAACAGAATAAACATCAGCTATGGAGTCTGGCTTCTCAGGGTCGGTTATAAGATTCGTTCTTTTAGCCATAGGTTCATTCAACAGCAAATAAGCCATTATTTGGTAGGCACTAGCCGAAGCATCTTGGGTAATAGGCACTCCGCATATAAAATTAGAATCTTCTGATTTATTAAAAATACCCCACAAAAACATCATCCACTGAAAAGGGTTTTTAGCTTTAGCGCTTGTGATAACAATAGCAGAATCATAACAAAAACCATCCTCTCTACAAGAGTCTTTTTGAATATCACCCACCTCCTCAATAACACATTTTTCTACATCTGTAAAAAACATGTTAGCCGAATCAATAGGGTTTGTCGAGAAAGACTTATAATGGAACCCACCAGCAGCTCGATAATAATAAAGCATTTCCTGTATTACATGAGGTGCTAGTACAAACTGAGAATTATTTATAAATTCTTTAGCATCAAAGAGAATAAGACTCCGTGCGAGATCACGCTCGTGGAAATGCAAGATTCCACTACGATAGATTCGACCACGGAAGTCAAGAAATGCCGGTATATAAAATGTATAACCAGCGTAGGCTGAGGCCATTTCTAGAATGGTTCGCTCATAACGAGCTCGTTGGATGTTAGTATACAAAATCTGCATGACAGCTTCTAAGCTTACGGAGTTATGAAAACTTTGACTCTCTTCCAGGTACACCCGTCGTACTCTATCAATTATTTCATTGGTATTAATTTTGAGAAGAAATTCCGGCATCAGAAACCCACGAGAAACCAATAAATCATCGTTTCTTTCAATAAAATTGAGATAGTCTTCATTAATTAGAAATTTTTGATTTTGCAGTTTATTCATAACTTCGCAAAGGTTATGAGCCTTGGAATGGGTGTTTTTGTCATTTTTATTACCAAAAAAAAGAAAGAAATTCGATAAGTCCCCCGATGATAAAAGATTGTACCCCTCATTCGTTTCTGTACTATTTAAGTACCCACCCGATAAACAAAATATGCTCAATAATCGGGAATTATCGCTTTTTGATTCAACAATTCCCCATTGTTTGGGCTTATACACCATTGGTAGATGGAGTTTTATTGGAAGAAGAGAAGTGTCGAATTTACACTCAACGTAGACACCGCTGGAACGATAGTGATAACCCTTCTTTTTTTTTACATCGGTATTATTTTTAACTGAAGTATCCAAAACCTTAAGGTCTATCAGACCTCGTTCAATCAAAAATTCGATCAAAGCAGTACCAAAAGGATAACTTATAAGATTTTTTGATTTCTTTTTATTGGCAGCTTTTTCCATCATTTTATTACCGTTATGACGAACCAGAGATTCAATCCTTTCGATAACACTAGCACACCTTACACTACTTTCAATGCTGAACAAACTACTTAAAACATTAATTAAAATCCATTCAATGGTATAAGGTCCAAAAACAGAAAGCATCTCCATATCTTCAGGAGAAAGTATATTCTTATAACCTTTTGCATTATCATCATTTGCATTATCATCATTTGATTTAGGGATGATCTTAATCCTTGAAGGTGTATCACTACTCTTATCCACTTTAAATTTACCTTGAAGATACTCTTTAGCACTAGGTAATTCGCTGTTAATGAACATCTTCATCAGCCCAGGCTGACATTGATAGACAGATTTCTCTTCGTATGATAAACAAAGATTTTCTATCTCATTTTGTAAGTCCTTCAAGCTATTTTCGGTGTGTTCTTTACCAACACGCGCTCTATATTCCTTCCATTTTTTTTTTTTTCAATTAAAGAATTCTGCTATAAGTGGGTTTGATTTTCCAACTATTGTTGTGTCTCTACCCTGGACTATCATCCCTCTTCAATTTTGCGTAGTCTAACAATAGATCTGATATGATCATTGTGTAGGATAGCTATCGCAAGATCTCAAGGGTATCAGTAAGAATAGAAGCCATTTCTACTATATCTACCCTGGTTATGAGAGGAAATCCGCGTTGAAGCATTAATTTCGTACAACCAGAGTATGGCTTCGCTGGTTATGCTATAACCTATCCCACTGATATTGTCCTATCTGTTAGATACAGAAACGAGACATCCTATAGCAGATTCTAGAGAAATAACTAGTTGATAGGGCTACTATCAGAGACCCGCTTCTTTCTCTAAAGGGTACGGTTTGGTGAAGATATCCACCAATTGCACCTCTGTAGGAACATAAGAAGGAAGAATAGTACCATCCTGAATAGCATCACGAACGAACGATCCGTCTGGTTCGAACTGACATAGGTGAATCGGACCTACACCTACCTTACGCCAACAAGGGATCGCTTTGGTTACGCAGTTCGGGTGACAACTCATCCCTACATCTGCGGGTCGTTCGACCATACCAGTAAAGAGTTTCAATACCAATAGCCGCTCCCGCACCCATTACTTTTACACCTTTTAACCATTAAGCGTAAAACCTCGAAATACGAATGAAATAAAAAAGGCGATGATGATGATTTTGAATTCAATAGTCTACAAGCCCGCCTCTGAGAGCGAAGTTGGAAGAATCTCTGTTGCCGTATCCGATGATGCTAGCGCAGTCAGAAGAATGGATCAAGTGGGAATTGATTCGTTTAAGTTTCCGAAGTAAGTTCGCCTAGTTTTAGGTATCATCACTCTTACCGTCACCGTCCTCTGCCTTATATCATATCAGCTTTCTTCTATTGATTGACCTTATGTAATATGGGATGTGAGAAGAAGACTGGCTGCCTGTTGAGTGTAGTAGAAATTCTGGACGTAGCTATCTACATACTCTTTCAGTAATGCAATGAATGAGGACTGTTCATCATGAGACAATGAGGACCCTACATGGACTTCTTTTACATCACTATCTGACTCTATATTTACAATGACTGACTCTTCTACTGGAGACATGCATGTCCTAGGTGCATCAGACAATTCATCATCAGATAATGCAGAATGTTCAGGTTCAATGTTTTGAATGAAAATAGGTTCTGGTGTTAGATCAGGATTGGAAGTTTCTGAATCAGAGATATCGGATTCAGTATGCAATGAGGAGAGGCTGGATGACGATTTATTTATCGGTATCGTATCCATCGAATGAGTTAGAGGAATGGTTTAGAGAGGTGGGAAAGATTTTTGGGCGGTTTCCGAGGAATAATTAAAAATTCAAGGATCCGTTATCCATCTTGCACTCCACGCTCCAATCATGGGAAACGTGGTCCGAGGGAGGTATCATTAAGGCTGTCGGATCGAAACCTCGCTCTTCGGGATCGGCAAACTGAAACATCTTGCGGAGAACACCATAACATAAGTGCTTCACCCAATCTTCGTCTTCTGCGGGAACTTCCCGTTTTTCCTTAAACCAGGTCTTGATCAATTCCGGATCTCTTGCTTCAGCAAAGAAAATCTCCAACCCAGGTCTTCGAACCTTGGTCCGTGGGTCACACCATGGTTCCGGGAACTCGTAGTAAAGTTCCTCATCTCCTTGCAACACAAACTGACCGTTGAGTGTTAAAGGAAACTTCTTCAGGGGTAAATGATCCTTATTGACCCTATATTATATCCCAAACTTTCTAAAGAACGCTGGATTGGAGCCTTCTCTCTGTTCCTGCTTCAAGCTGAGTAGCCAAATACCTTGGGTGAAAGCTTAAGTGTTGGAGCAAAGCAAAGCCCCGATCGATCTAAAAGATTATAGGGACTCCCTGCATCGAGCTTCTTGCCCAACCCCATTCCTAAACTACCTTCACGCATAGGTCCTTCCGGGGATGCTGCCTAGCAGCTTATCGACAGAGGGATTAGGAATAGAAGGACCTAGCACTATCATAGGAGTAAGTTTACTCTCAATGTAAGAACTCTCACTAGAGAGGCTTGCTTACCTTATGACTTCAACTGGGAGGGCAGCGGGAAAGCTACTCCAAGTAAATTGACTAGCCTACGCTAAAGAACCTCTTCGCTTTGCTTTGTTTGAGTCACTTCGTCCCGAAAGCTTTCGTGTGAAGAGTAAAGGTCAAGCTAGAAAGCCGGGTTCTTTCACCAATCCATCGAGTGTAATTCCTGCTATTGGGAGTTCTGCATTAAAGTAGAAGCTAGCAAAGCAAGTCAGGGAAGCTAATTGCGACAGTTAAGCTATTTCAAGTTTGTAATATTTTGAAAGCTATCCTGTTACAGATTCTGTTAGCAAGCCAGTTCCATTATTGATATTGATTGACAGAGAGCAAAGAACTAACCGGTGTTAGCAGTCTTTCCGGTCTTGCGCACTTCTCACTGTACATGCCAGTCTTGAATGCCAGGACAAAAAAGCTTTTTAGGAAGAGTGAATAGCACTTCCCGGTCAGTTTCCTTTCTTGCTTACCGGCTTAGCTCTGCAGAACCAATAGGTTTCCATTCTCCTAATTCAGCCTATAGACTTTGGTTTAGGTTCAATCCAAGACCAGGAAAGCAACGAAGCCCAATGCCAAGCAAAGCCCTAGACTACAAGTGAAGAAATTGGGTTCAACTAAGCCCTTAACCCAACATGAGGTGGAGCCTTAACCCGACACAAGAGGGACCTATTAGGATAGTGGGCTTAGAGCAAGACCCATCAGTGGATAAGATCACAACAAGAGGTGTACACGTTAGGCCTCACTCAAGGTAATGGGCCAACCCTAACGAGTCCAAACAAATTTTATCTTATTGTATGACAAAACCACAGATTGGGCTTAATATTCAAGGCCCAGAAAAGAAGATGGGGTGAATCCAGAAAGCCTTACCGCTCTTATTCCGCAGCCTTTAGCACATAGCAGTCGACGCAGAAGAGAGCAGCCCTACAAAATAGTCAACCTTCCTTCCAAAAGCTTCGCTTTAGCGACTACATACCTGTGATGTTAGTATTCGTATTACATACACTGATGTAAGTGGAATCAATCACCTAAATGACATGATTCAACTGCCAGTGAGATTAGGAGCTTCCTGAGAAGAGTAAGTTGAATCAGCAAAATTGGATGATTCAACAACTGATGAATTGTTTGTTGAATCCCGCAAAGATTCGCGCTCGCTCTAAAAAATCGACTATCCACAGTATAAATAGAGAATCAACAAGAACTGCCATTTGCCATAAAACTAAGCGGTCAGTATACCCGAGATCCTTTCATTCCAAGTTGCCATCATCTTCTTGTTCTTTTTTATGCTCTCTGGTACATTAGCCTCTAAGGCTGTTTTCAGCCTCTCTTTTGATATTACCTTACTGGTAGTGAAAGGTTCATTAGAACTATGTTCAAAAACATTCATATAGATGAACTCGTTGATGATTGAAAGTGGAGGGCCCATGTTACGAAAGACGCCGTAATAAATCTTTGGTAACATATAGCTATATTCAGCTGTTGTTATAAAGTTATCGTGAACTGTGTATATAGGAGCGTCTTTTAGAAGACGCATCCCGTCTACTACACTCATTGCAATATGGGCATCCTTTTTATTTGATGAATGAAGTTTAAAAGGGTAGAGATTTCAGTCTTCTTACGATCTCTCTTAGAAGAAGAAACTCTGAGAGTAACCCGACGCCTCTTCTTCTTCTGATTAGGAAGATCATAAATACTTATCTGTATTGGTTCCAAAACCATATAATCTTGTACCGTGGTTAAGTAAGGTATCAAGATGATGAAGTGAGTTAGTCGCACTGCAACTGGATCTAGCGATTCTTACAAAGAAGTAGTACTTCCCAGGAGGAGTACCTCGGATCCCTCTGCTTCTCTCGTAATGGCTACTTGATCTATCAGAGAGAGACGTTCCTAGTCACTCTGGCCGCTCTTTAACCTCTATTCTCTTGGGAAAGCAATTCTAACAATCGAGCTCAGTGAGGGCTCAGGGTATTATCTCGGCAAAGAAACAGTCCATCCCTTGACCTTCAACCTTTCTGCAGCCAGGAAATAACCTGATCTTTGATTCTAAGGATTTCTAAGATAAGACCATGGGAAAAAAGAAAGGCTCTAAGTCCTTTTATCTCCCTAGATGGGGCATTAAAGGTCTTAGCACTTTCCCTCTTACCTTCGTCACCTTGCCTTGGATCCTTACTCGCTCTTGGGATAGGAATGAAGCCAGTGTCCCTTCCAGTCCGATCAAGAGTTACGATATCCACGTGCACGTGAAAAGGACACTGTGAGGACAGAAGGAGCTGCTATTGAATGCAAAGTAACTGTCATGCTTATCCGGTCTTAGCATCTTAGCATATGGCATTACCTCCAGGCGGAAGCCGGACTCCTCTTGAAGAATCAGCTCAACTTAAAAACAGTTTCGGGACTTGTCCAACAGCGAGTCCCGAAGGTGGGGACTGATTATGAGATCATCAGTGATATGAAAATAGAACTGGGTCCGGATCATCCCCTCGTCCAGTTTGTTCGAAAAGAATCATTAATCATATAATATATATAAGATATAAGAGGGGAAGAATCGACAAAGAATGACGAACATAAAACCGTGAATGAAAAAGCGTTAGGAGAATGATCGACTCTGTTATGTTAGAAGGTGCAAAATCAACGGGTGCCGGAGCTGCTTCCAATTGCTCGGAAATTCTCAGTTATATGGGGGGCTTAGATAGTGAGCAAAAACAATTGATCAAGAAATTGGTCAACTTTCACATGAAAGTTGGTAAAAGAA